CTAGTAGAAAGGGAGAATATCCTAAGCCTAACTACCAGAAGTAAAGGCAGAGAGGAAGACTGATTCCAGTCCAGCTGAGGTGTGATAAGACGTGCAATACAACTACAGGCTGAGGTGCCCAAGTGTTGGGGAACCAAGGACAAAAGATGGAGAAATGGTTAGAGATGAGGATAGAAAGTATTTTGGGGCCAGGTTCCCTCATGGCTTTGAATATCACAAAAAGAAATTTAAATTTCATCCTATTGGCAAAGAGAAACAATAAAGATTTTCAAGAAGGAGAATGACAGTAGGTCTATTTTACAAAGATATAAAGATAGCTACTGGCATTGCAGCAAACGAAAGTGTGAAAGGGTGAGATCAAAGGCAGAGAAGCAGCTACTTAAACGTTCCACGTAAGAGAAGATGAGATCTAGAAAGAAGATGAGATTGGAGGCAGGTGACTTTTCAATTCTCAAGCTTAAGAGTGAATAAAGATATATGATCACTAAATCAGTTCATAGGCAATCTTTAAAGACAAAGATAAATTTACTGAGAAGAGTCACTAGAGGGCTGGTAACTTTGGAAACATTCGCATAGAAAAGACTGAAAATCTGCCCTCAAAGATTAAAGAAAAAAAAAAGGTCCAAGAAAAAGTAGTGTCACATAAGTCTAGTTTCCAGGAAAATGGGGGTAATGGTGCATGTATTATCAGACTGGAAAAAATGTAGAAGACTGATCTCATACACTGTTGGTAAAAAAAAAAAAAAAAAGAAAAAAGTGGGCAATTTCAAATAATGTTAGAGGAAATGTAAAATATATTGATAGAAAGTTTAGGAAGGACAATTTGACAACATCAACATTTTAAATGTCTATTTTCTTTGACCCAGCATTTCCTTCTCTAGGAATTTACTCTACAGATACACTTTCATAGTGTACAAAGATATACCTATATGTATACGTGGGTTATTTACTGTAACATTATTTGCAACTGTAATAAAGTAAATAACTACCAATAGGGAAATGTATAACAAAACTACAGTTTACTCATACTATGGTACGAAAGTAGCCATTAAAAAAATGAGAGGGACCTGAACATACTAGCATGAAAGGATGTCTAAATAAATTCCTTAAGTGGGAGAAAACGATTACTTACAGAAGCATATATAAACAAAAATTTCAGTTCTGCTAAAAACAAAACTGAGTCCCAGACAGAGCAGGAGAAAAATGTAGAACACAATTCAAATTCATGTAAAAAGACCAGACTTAATGGCTTGACAGAGACTGGAGGAACCCCTGAAACTATGGCCCCTGGACACTCTGCTAACCTTGAACTAAACCATTCCTGAAGCCTACTCTTCAGACAAACATTAGACAGGACCATAAAACAAAAAATAATACATGTGAGGAACATGCTTCTTAGTTCAATCAGATATATGAGACCAAATGGGCAGCTCCTGTCCAAAAGCAGGATGAGAAGGCAGGAAGGGACAGGAACTGGTCGAATGGATACAGGGAACCTGGGATAGAAAGGGGGAGAGTGCTGTCACATTGTGGGGACTGCAACCAATGTCACAAAACAGTAAGCGTATAAATTTTTAAATGAGAAATTGAGCTGTAAACTTTCACCTGAAGCACAATAATTAAAAAAAAAAATGTGTATGTGCATGTATACATACACATAAAAAAATATAAAGGAAAACATAACATGCTTTTAATAGGAATTACTCTAGGGGAGTAGAGGTGTGACTGGAAGAGGCTTGGGAAAGATGAGGCTAGAGTTCGACTATATTCTTTTGCACTGTTTACCTACTTTACAACAAGCATAGGTTACTTGAATAAAAATTTTTAAAGCTCCACTACATATAAAAATACGAAAGTAAGTTAGGAGGGAAATTTAAAACAACTAAAACTAAACAAACAAAAAAATCGGCAATTGCCACTTTCGTCCTCAATCCTGATCTTTCTATTGTCTTTTCCTACAATGGCACCACCTTCCTCTCAGCTGTCTAAGGAAAAAGCCTGGGAGTTATTCTATAATCCCTTCTCTTCCTCTCTCTACTTCATTCTTTCAGTCAGTGAATCTTTATCAAGTGCGTTTTTGTGCCAAGAGCTATTTTAGATACCGAGAAAACTAGTGTTTGCAGTTTGTCTCTGAACAAATTTGAAGAACACAAAAAACAAAACTGTCAGTTATAAGTCCTCTAGCTTCAGTCTTCTAAATACTTTTGAAATGTCTCCCACAACCTAATTTCTACAGTTCAAACAAGAGATGGTGGGGAATTAAACTCCTGCAATTCTATTCCTTCCAAATTCTTCATGCCCATCTTGCCCATCTTCATACTATTACGGAAGTGAAGTTAATGTCATTCCTTTTGTGGGAGTTCTTAAGAGCCTCTCTTATCTTCAAATAAAAAAGAAACTCTATAATATGATATGCAAAGTTCTTCATGATGTTTACCTATTTATCCTCAACATCCACTACTGCCCTCACCCTGCAACCCGTATACTTCACACTAACGATACTGAAAGGCTCGTTATTACCTAATATTCATATTTTCTAATGACTCTATGTCTTTAAACTGTTACTACTGTTTAGAATCCTTTTGCCCAACTGTCTGCTCATCCTTTAAGATTCAGCTCTAGAAGCCTTAGGTGTCCTGCATGCTCCCAATGCACTTCTACTACTACCCAGTACTGCAACTGTTTACCATGTCTATCTCCTGTAAGGTCCTTAAGGTCAGGGACCATATACTAGTCTCTCAAATACTTAAGTCTAGTATAACAGCTGGCATGTAGTAGATATTTCATATCTATCTCATGAGTAAAGGATGAACAAATGAATAAATGAGTGTTTAAATAGTTTTATGAACTTGAGTAAGGCATATGATCCAAGACTTAGTTTCCTAGTATGTAAAATGAGGATGTTTATCTACCTCATGGGGCTGTCTTAATAACCATGAGAGATAAGTTCCTACCACAGTGCCTGGTATAATTTAGTAAATATTGGCTTAAATTACTTTTTAAAGTTAGGTTTTATAAGCTAGCCTGGAAGCATAGCCTTTTATCCTTATTTCTTTGGTAACATACATTCTGAATTTCAAACACATTTGGAATATTGCCTGTCCACAAATTGAAGTCCTTCTTTAATACCCAACAAGCATTCTCTTCCCTGATCAGGTTGATTTCTTCATATCAGCAATACTGAACATGTCATGCTCACTCTCACCTCAAATTTGCTCTGCTTTTCTCTTTGCCTAGAATTTCATCTTTTGTCTATTCCCCCTTGGTTGAAGTCAACCAAAAACAAACAAACAAAAAACCCTCTGTTTTTGTTTTCGTTTTTTGCTTTAATAGTCTATACAACATTTATACTGTTCTATTGTTTATAGCAAGGAGCCCTGGTGGCACAGTTGTTAGGCAGTTGGCTGCTAACTGAAAGGTCAGAGGTTCAAATCCACCAGCTGCTCTGCAGGAGACAGCTGTAGCGGTCTGCTTCCGTAAAGATTACAGCCTTGGAAATCCTATGGGGCAGTTTCACTCTGTCCTATAGGGTCACTATGAGTCATAATCGACTCAATAGCAACAGGTTTTGGGTTTTATTATTTATAGCTATCATGCCACCTTCCAAGTTATCAGTCAATCCTGCAACTGTGAAGAACTATTAGGGTTTCTTATATATTCTTCAGTTTTCCAGCCCCTTTGCCACTTAAGAAATTCTCTGATGATATCAGCCTTTTCTAACAACTCAGCAACTTGATTTCATATTCAGACTCCAAATCTTACACTTCAATATTGAGTTCTTAATTACCTGGATTCTCTGCTACTGTTTCATGGGTATTAGTCTTAATCCCAACTAGACTACAAACTTTGAGATCATGCCCTCCAACACTAAGCACAACCCTGAGCACAAAAGCCAGTAAACAAATACTTCCAAATTAGCCTCAAAAATAGCATCAAATTCTAAATAAAACTACAAATACTTTTATGATAACTGTAGATAACTGAGGAAACAATTTGTATTTCATTATCATCTATCTTTAAAATCTATGTGGGATACTGACTAGCCAACTTCTGGATACCCTGTTTAAAAACACACACACACACACACACACACACACACACACACACACACACATATACACCCACTCCTCACTTACTGACATAGTTAGGTCAAAGACCAGGTCATTATACAAAAATAGGCATTATGCGAAAATAGAGGATGACCACATCAGATCACAAGAAAACAGATCATGACTACATCATTACATACCTGCCAAATCACTGAGAACCACGGTCCAGCCAAGGCGACATATAACCTTAATCATTACAGCCAGCATTACTTTTGCCCCAAACCTTGGTGTTGTTACTGCCAGACACACGTTGTCATGCACAAAATAGTCAGATAGTAGATTTTTTACTATTGTCATAAGTGCGAAACGTTGAATAATGAGATAATCGATAAGTAAGGAGTAGGTGTAGTACATATGATATTTAAAATATATATCTTTCTAAAAGAAGTATTGTGAAATAAAGGAAGCTCTTTTCCTTAAAATATATTAATTAGAAACTAGTTTACCCTATGCTCACAAAACCCCGTTTTTCCAAATTTAGAATTTGTTTTAGAAGTAAAGAATCAATGATCATGGTAGAATACTATGACCTTGTTTCATTGTTATCAAAATAATATATTTCATTCATAGGTCACCGAGGAAACAATCTGTATTCAATTGTCATCTACTTTCTTTAAATTCCCATATGTGGCTGTTAATTAATTAAACAAATGTAATCTTGATTTAAGACATGTGACAATGATCTATTTTATACAGATTATCTGTATGTATTGTAGAATGCAAAAAAAATTGATAATTTTGAAATTATGTCTAAAAACATAGCAGAGGAAAGAAGAAAATTAAAAACAAACAAACAAACAAAAAAACGGGAGTCTATATTACCTATATGAGACACAGCTCTGAGTGGAACTATTTTTAAAGAAAATGGGCAAGAACTATGTATTAAGTTACCTGTAATCATTCCGATCATCAGCTTTTATTCCAGGCCAATCTCTCTTCAGGTATTGACTAGCCAACTTCTGGATACCCTGTTAAAATATATATATATATATTCTAAAATAAGTATTAGGGTATAAAAGAGGCTCTTTTCCTTAAAATACATAACTTAGAAATTCTATCTTTCCAAATTTATAATTTGGTTCAGAAGTAAAGAATCAATAATAATGGTAGAAACCTACAACCTTGTTTTATTATTGACATAGTCCTCTCTTGTCTCCATTTTAGGGAAAGGGTAAGTATAAGGATAAGAAAATTGAAACTTAATTAATTTGCTTCTCATTTCACCAAATTATTTGACCAGCAAAAAAACAAACTGCCTCTAGTACGTCATAGGGAACACAGTTGATGTTCACCTCCACAGAGCTCTGATTACATAGCCTGACATCTCAGCTTCCCACTGTTCCTCTGCTTTGGCATGTACTGCATCTCTACATCCCAGCAGCCTAACTCTCATATACCAGGAAAGGCAAAAACACACATTCGACTTGGAGTAGACACATATATATTAGCTTGTAAAATTAACGAACAAACCTTGGTGCTGTTTCATGCTAGTAATTCTCAAGACAGATTTTAAGGGTTATTTTTTCTTCCCTTTTAAAATAATACGATAGCATAAATAATTTCAAATGATAAAATTAGTTTTACAGAGAAATACACCCACTTACTATTTTTTTTTTTTTAATTATACTTCAGATGAAGGTTTACAGAACAAATAGTTTCTCATGAAACAGTAGTACACATATTGTTTTATGACATTGGTTAACAACCCTACGACATGTCAACCCTCTCCCTTCTCTTCCTTTTTTTTTTTTGGTGAAAATACACATAGCCAAAGATACACCATTTCAAAAATTTCTACATGCCCAGTTCAGTGACATCGACTACGCTCTTCCAGTTGTGCTGCTACTCTCACTTTAGACGAAGGTTTACAGAACAAAATAGTTTCTCATTAAACAGTACACGTGTTGCCCTATGACAATGATTAACAACCTTACAACACATCAACACTATCCTTACTCAACCTTGGGTTCCCTATCACCAGCTTTCCTGTCCCCTTCTGCCTTCTAGTCCCTATCCCTGGACTGATGTGCCTCATTAGTCCCATTTGGTTCCATGGGACTGTCCACTCCCCAGCTGAACGGTGAACCTCGGAAGTGACTTCACCACTGAGCTGAAAGGGTGTCTGGGGGTCATACTCTCAGGGTTTCTCCAGTCTCCTTTAGGCCAGTAAATCTGGTCTTTTTTTTGTGAGTTAGAACTTTGTTCTACATCCTTCTCCAGCTCTGTCCAGAACCCTCTGTCGTGATCCCAGTCAGAGCAGGCAGTGGTGGTAGCCGGGCACCATCTAGCTGTACTGAACTCAGTCTGGTGGAGGCCTCGGGAGCTGTGTTCCATTAGTCCTTCGGACTCATCTTTCCCTTGTATCCTGTTCTCCCACTTACTATTATTCATGTAAACTAAATTTGGACCAAACAGAATATTTATCTGTAATAGGTAGTATGGCTGTGATGATTTGAAGAGAGAAAACCATTTTGTTGGGAAGTGAAGTCAAACTAATCACTATGAATACATGACATATTATTTTTAGATGAGAACATATATGGCGCCCTAACACTATAACAGGGCCCAGCATAATGGATATAGAAGTCATTAACTTTGGGATACTTATCTCTGTATGTGCAACTTTAAAAAGAATAAAGATGCTTGTCTTAGTCATCTAGTGCTGCTGTACAGAAATATCACAAGTGGATGGCTTTAACAGAGAGAAATTTATTTCCTCACAGTAAAGTAGCCTAAAAGTCCAAATTCAGGGCATCAGCTCCAGGAGAAGGCTTTCTCTCTGTTGGCCTTTTCATCAATTTTCCCCCAGACTAGGAGCTTCTCTGCACAAGGTCTCTGGGTACAAAGGACGTTTCTGCTCCCAGCACTGCTTTCTTGGTGGTATGAGGTCCTCAACTCTCTGCTTGCTTCCCTTTCCTCTTAACTCTTGCAAGAAGATAAAAGGTGGTGCAGGCCATACCCCAGGGAAACACCCTTTACGTTGCAGCAGGGATGGGACCTTAGTAAAGGTGTTACAATCCCACCTCTTTAATGTAAAATTACAATCACAAAATGGAGGACAACCACACAATACTGGGAATCATTGCCTAGCTAAATCGATACACACATTGTTGGGGGGAGATAATTCAATCCATGATAATGTTGAAATGAAGAACAATCATATTAATTAACTGACTGACTGCTTTAATCAGAAGCTGTTCAAGTAAAATCAGTGCTTCAGTCCATAGATGGTACCTTTCTACTAAGGTCTTCTGCCAAATTAATTTGGCTTAATTAAATCCATTGTTGACTGTTTATCATTATTTCAATGAGTCCAAAAGGCAGCAGAAACTGTAGAGAAGTTCCTTTGAATCTCAGGTTCCTCCTGAACTTGGCTACAGTTCGGTTTTACCATTTCCAGATGCTGTGTGTTCTCAGAACTCACATATAACTATATATCCATAATACTTCCACTTACATACCCTGTAGTTTGTGGAACCCAACTACTAAATGTTCCCCATGTATGGCCACTATTTTTTTACTTCTACATCTTGTTCATACTATTTTCACTGCATGAAATATCTCACCACTCCCATTCCAACCTGTTGAATCTTCACTCTCCTCATTTTAAAGGTGATTTTTAAATTTCCTAACAAAATATTCAGAAGTATATATAGGAAAATGTGAAAAGTTTCATTGCCTAGACGTTGCATTTCATTAAGGGTTGAAAAGTGTTAATATAATAGTTTTGTCATTCCTTCTGCGTTTATTAGCTGGAATTCTAATATAAAAAACTATCTTTTCTGAACTATTTGGTTACCCTGAGGTACGGTTCTTAGAGGAAAATTAGAAAAAATACTCTATTAATTCCCTTTATTGTCCAGTTTTCCAAACTGGTCCAAAGGTGAACAATGAGGAATTTTTAAAGTCACATTATGAACTCATAGATTTTAAACAACTGATGTATTTCAATTAATTGCAGAAATTATTTTTTGATGCTATATTTGTCACAATTGTGGTATGTGGAGCTCCTTCAAGTTGGCTCCCACATTATGATCACAATAGACTTTTGATAGTTTGTTTTCTTTTACAGTTCCTGTCCCAGAACTGCGATAAGCTATTTTTCCAAGGGATCCCGATTCCTTTTAGAAAGAAACCATATTTAGAGACCACAATCTAGGCACTTTCTCATCCTTTAAGTCTTAGTTTGTATCATTCTCAGAAAGGCCTTTTCTAATCACTGTATACAAAGTAGCTCACCTTCCAGAGTTAAACTTTCTCACACTACCCTATTTATTCATAATCCTTATTACACTGTTACTGTCTGATTTAAATTGTTTTGTCTGCTTACTGACTATAAACTCCATCAGGTAAGGAGTCTGTCTTTTCTTTTTTTTTTTTTAAATCACTATACTCCCAACAAACAGTCTAGCATTTGGTTGATGCCAATAATATCCACTGACTGAATAAAAAAATTACACCTACATTATTCTATTTCTAATTCATAATACCTCAAATTCTTTTTGCCATTTTGAGTTAGAAATCTTTGGATCAAAATTTCTCTCGTTCCTAATTTTCATATCCTCAAAGAAAAAGACTGCACCAGACTTCTAAGATTATGACCATCATGACCAAAACCTTCTATGGTTTTAATATAAAGTTTCTTAGGAAAATTACAGTCAAATTTGATCATTCACACTACCAGAAGAGAACATGTATGTGGATATTCCAAAGCAATGAAATAAAAATGAGCAGAAGTTTATTCTATATGTATAAGGCATTACACATTAAGTTTTGTAAAGGCTCAAATAAGCCAACGTCCCTGAATTCAAAGACCTCACAATGTGTAGAGAGGAATAAGAAGTACAGTCGTATGCATATAAAAACGGAGGTAACATATGGATAATTAACAAAGAAGTGGCCAAATGTAACATAAGTACTCAGATGAGGAAATGATCAGATATTTTCTTAACAAGTCACATTTAAATGATACGACAGTGACTTTTTCAGCTTGATCACTATTAAAGTGGTTGCAGATACTTCACACAAAACATGGGACATCATATGAGCCTCGGATGATGAGTAGGACTAAGAAGGCAGAAAGACAGTGCTCTAAATTTATACAAAGCAAATTAAGCAGCACATCTGCACATTTATTTCCCTTAATTTTTTTAAATTTTTTATTTTACTTTTTAAAAAAATTTTTTTATTGTACTTTAGATGAAGGTTTACAGAACAAATAGTTTCTCATTAAACAGTCAGATATTGTTTTATGACATTGGTTAACAACCCCACGACATGTCAACACTCTCCCTTCTCGACCTTGAGGACCTTTTTATTTTCGGTGAAAATATACATAGACAAAGTTACAAAATTTTCAAAGTTTCTACATGTACAATTCAGTGACATCGATTACATTTTTCCAGTTGTGCTGCTATTCTCACTATCCTTTTCCAAATTATTCCATCACCATTATCTTCAACTGACTGTCCCCTAGGCTTCCCATCAAACCTTTTGAGTTGCGGTTGTCAATTTGATCTCATATAGATAATTCTTTTTTTTATTTGTACCTTAGATGAAGGTTTGCAGAATAGTTTCTCATTAAACAGTACACATATTGCCCTATGACAATGGTTAACAACCCCATGACATGTCAACACTGTCCCTTCTCAACTTTGGGTTCCCTATCACCAGCTTTCTTGTCCCCTCCTGCATTCTAGTCCTTGTTCCTCGACTGCTGTGCCTCATTAGTCCTGTTTTGTTTTATGAGGCTGTCCAATCCCCGGCTGAACGGTGAACTTCGGGAGGGGCTTCACCACTGAGCCAAAACGGTGTCTGGGGGCCATACTCTCAGGGTTTTTCCAGTCTGTCAGGCCAGTAAATATGGTCTTTTTTTTTTTTTTTGTGAGTTAGAATTCAGTTCTAGATCCTTTTCCAGCTCTGTCCAGGACCCTCTATTGTGATCCTGGTCAGAGCAGTCAGTGGTGGT